GTAGAATACATCTGTAATGTTTATTTGTGTATTTTTCAACTTTGGTTCCTATATGAGGCGATTATTCAAAACAATTTTGCTTGGACGTGGATACAATTTTAAAATATAAAACTAATAATCTTTGGTGAAACTAAAAAAATTTGTTTGCACCTAGTCAAATGATACATCAAAATAACCATAAATGAATATAGAACAGGAAAATATTGAAAAATTTGCAGTTATTTATATACATTCCATAGAATTTGTTCATTTGGATCATAACATCTGATATTGAAAATTTTTTTGTAAAATTGTATAATCTTGAAAACAAGGACAAGATGCAGTCACAAACAGAAAAAAACACTCGTATCTCGTATGAAATTATTCAGAATTGCCTTTGGAATAAACCTATACATGTCTTGAGAGGTACTTTTTGTGTAATTGTAGTGATTGTGGGTGGTTGGTGGGTGCTCTGGTGTGGTGTGCTTCTTCTTTCCTATCAAACATCTATCGTCCTTATCTCCCCTTCTTCTTTTTTATGTTTGTTACTCTCTTGTAACACCTCTAATCTTCTGGCGCTCATATGACCTTATGCAGTTGCGAGTGCCGTAAAACCTCTACTAAAACTACTACTAAAAAAAAAAGTAGTGATTTCGGGGAGAAAAAAAAAATGCTTTGACAATTTATATCTAGACCTAGATCTAGCACTGAAAAATATTAATTTCTCAATAACAGATCACTTTCAATTTGAATCCAATAGTAATATTCTAAACAAGAGTCCTAAATTTCTTTAGTGAGCAAAATAATGATACATTTTGTTGTATAAAAGTGCTAAGACTGGTGTCTGGGCTATAATTTGGGCATCGCTATAAAACAAAGTCACTTACTTAAACTTCGAAATCGCAATTTAAAACTGAATCTAAACTTCTGATTTTCGGTGGAAACGCTTGACCCGAAAGTCAATGTAATATTATATCCTTTATTTTAAAATGGATATGTGGATTGGAATAAAATCTAAGCTAGAAGTATAGGTCGGCTTGGCATACGGAAGACACTTTCGCCGCGTCGCGGGGGTAGTGAATGCGTTAAACGCATTGTAAAAAAATGGTGGATCTATCATTTTTGTTGTTGAAACCCATTTTGGTCAAAAAAAGGGATTTTTGGTATTATCAGCCTGTAGCTCAAAACGGTCTGGGGCGACTTTTGGTACCTTTCTCTAGGTGCACACATATATGATTGCTTTCTACTTGCATCAGCTAGGACGGGGAGGGGGGGATGTGCTGTATCTGCTGTTCTACTCCTTATTCTTTGACTCAGTCATCCTGATCTGTCCCACAAGCAACTGCGGTGTAATTGTTAGGAGTTTAACTGCTACATACAGAAGACTTGAGTTTGATTATTGTGTGGGTGAGGCTACTTTTATCAAGTATTTCTGATTCCATTTCTCATTTAGTATGGGTTGGCTATGACAGGCACGGTCAAAGTAGCCCCACTTTTTAAATTATCTAATCCCGTAATGGGGCCGTCAAATATTTTACAGTTGCGCATATTCAGTTTCTGGCCAAATTTAGCGCTGTCGCACTGACAAGGTGTAAACCACGACTCAAGGACTTTGTCTTTCAAATTTGCTTAGCTCCAGGAATAGCATGATTAATACTCATTACAGATCCTGCTCATAGATGTCATGATGTATCTTAGGGCTAAAAGCTGTCAGATCTTTTCCCCACTCCCCATCCCGGCTAAGAGCTACAACAAGCTTGTACTTCAATATTGTACTCTGTGTTCTTTTTCGCGCTTGACTCAAAGTCATGATTTTTAAAGAAATTTGTTAATTCAGGTTCTTTGCAAAATGTTAAAAGGGTTGTGACTGCATTGGTACACATAGTACCAGGCAACTTAAATTGTGGATTCAAAACGACATAGTACCAGGCAACTCAAATTGTGGATTCAAAACGACATGAACAACAAAATGGATAAAATGAAAAATAAAAAATGCTTGAAAAAAATAAACATTCCACAGTAAATGGTGCTCATAGGCATAAATTATGTTAGAATTATAACTACAGTCTACAATTTTTTTTTATGGCCCGTTTTAATGCTTAGAAAAGTTAAGGATGACTTAAGAACAACGTTCTTCTGATATGCCTTGTCGAAATATCATCATATGTGGCTTGAGTTTTGGCTGGTTGGGGGTGATGAGAAAATGTTCAAATTTTTTACTGTCTTTTTTTTACTACACACACGTGTTTGTACATGGTTTATACAACATACGTGTTGAGCTCTTCATACAAGGACAGGGATGAAATTCACTTTTCATTAATATAATAGTTAGGATGATAGTCTAATTTAACTTTAACTGTCATTCTCTGGATCTGACATTACAGGTCTTGTGAAATGATTGTATTTTCGTATGGAAGAGGATTCGTAGATGGTTTTTGCTTTTTCTTCCTGGACGTTTAAAATATGTAAGACATTCTTCGGAGCCCTTTGGACATTGGATTTTCTGAAGAAATGCAGCTTTGACGTTAAGGGGAAAGAACAAGGATAATGGAATTTCCTCTTTCGCTCATGTAATTGTGCCCCTTTATTTCGAAACCGGATGTAGCTCTTGCTCTGTGTGAGTATTTTTTCGTGGAGAGATTGTTTTCGACCCTTATCATGAAGAGCTAAGACATGGCGTCTCCTGAATATGTGAAAAATCGTGATGAATTTTAGAAAAATTTTACCCATACTTTCTCAAGGCCAAATGGAGTGAGTGAAGAACAAATTTACCCTTGTCTGTAATGCACACATCATGCTTGTTAGAATTAAAATTTTGCTGCAGCAACTTTATCTTGTACTTTGATTTGTGATAATCGATATATCACCAGTGAAACTTTCACATTCGACAACAGAGGAAATGTATTTTGAATCCAAATTTTTTTCCTCGGAATTCTAGGATTTAGAATAATAAATGAGTTGTGTATCTAGAACATTCAAGTTGTCCTGACTTCTTAATAGCATCTTGCATATTTGTGGTCTATAAAAAAATATTTTTCTGCTTGAGGTTTGAGGGGGGTTTTCAGAGGGGTTCTGTATGGTGTCTTGCCAGAAATACTTTTAAAATCTTCGTATGAGGATCGTGTGTCAGTGATGTGCGCCCTCAAATGTACACAGACACATATAGACAAACACACACAGATTGTCGTCCATAACAAGAACTAACGTAAGCAACATTTTTAGCGAAATCTAGTTAGAACCACCAAGCAAATACTTAACCTATACTCTATATCACGTCTTAGAATTCTGGTGTGGGTACCGTTAGCCGTTACAGAGTTATTCGCGTTTTTCAAACTAGCTTATCCACCATTTTGCAGCGTCACAAGGAGATTTTAAACCGCTGTCCTGAATAGTTAAAAAATAGTACGTGATTCAGGCTACGAGATGTGTAAGGTGTATGTATGCCTTGGGCGCGGGCTCTGTTCAGTTATTCCTACAAATATTTTTTAAAATTTGCCCGTGTGGGTGGTTAGCGGGTGCTCTGGTGTGGTTTGCTTCTTCTTTCCTATCAAACATCTATCATCATTATCTCACCTCCTTCTTTCTTGTGTTTGTTACTCCATTGTAACACCTCTAATCTTCGGCACTTATGACCTTATTGTGTTGCAAGTGCCGTAAAACCCTTACGAAAAAAATAATCTGCCCATGTGAATTGTGTGTCAGTAATTACAGTCTTACAGATACACATACATACTCACACATGTAGACTTTTAAGATGTGCAGGTGTGTGTATTGGGGGGGGGGGGGTTGCTTTTCATATAGTATACTTCTTAAGTGAAGTTGATAGAAAAAAAATACCCTGCATAGAAAGCATTTCGACATGTAACATATATACAACACCTAACTTACATAGCAACGTTGCCTTCTTCGAACAAGACAAGAATTCTTCCACTTCTTTTCCTCCTTTCAGTGTGTGTGTGTCGGGGGGTGGGGGGGTTGTCACAAATTTCTGTCAGTGTGCTGAGACGTAGTATCCGCCTATACTGGCCCTGACAGGCAAGGTAAAAGCAGGCCTCTTTTCTTAATTGTCTAAATGTGTTGATTGGGGCATAAAATATTTATGGTTTTTTACGTCCCTTCGGTGAAATTGTGAGCCTGAAGCTAGTATTCAAGTCACTTGTGAAATTTTATGTAAAGAGATCGGTTCATAAATATATATATAAATTCTTCAGCGAAGTTTTCTCAACAGCTCACTCATCTGTATATTTACCCTTAATTTAACTGTGTTTAACTTGCATTTCTCTATTCTAGAACTATGGGTAATAATCATGATTTTTTGGTTTTTATTCCTTCTATGTGTACACAAAAGGAGTCTGCTCTTTTGAAGTACTCTGAGCACATAAGAAAAAAATTACATGTATTAATTTCTCTCAAGTATACTTTTTTTGTTTTAATTGAGGTTTTACGGCGCTCGCAACTGCATACGGTCATATGAGCACCAAAGGGTGGATGTCAACAGAGAAGTCCTTTCAGGGAATCTGACTTACTCTGCTCACCTCTCTAGCTTCAGCAGCATAAAGTCTGCTTCGACTATCAAAGCACCCCGGAAATAGCGGGTCACCAGAGTGTGACAAAAATACAAAAGAAATAGAGGAAAATGACGATAGTAAGGATTAGGAAAAAAAAGGCAGCAGTTCCCTGTTGTAGTTCAGGCTCTGTTATGAGCATGACATTGTTAGATCAGCTCATTTACACTTCTACTGTGCACTAGAATGAGAAATGTCCCCCCTTTGGGAATGGCCTAAAGACATTTCAGTCAGTGGCACCACCCCGGGGGGGTAAGTGTACTTTAGCATTCCATAAACTAACAATGGTCGCAAAATGCCATAACTTATTAGTGAGTACACTCAAATAACGATGAAACAACTTCTGCCTCACTCATTATAAAAAGAGGGAAAACTGGCTATGAAGCCCCTACCGATGATATAATCTGCTACTCAGATCTGACATGTAACTTAATGTTATGTTATTGTCTCTTTCAGATGCAAGCATCCCGGCGTGCTTTCTTCAGGCAGCTTCCAAACCGGAAAATTACCAAGACTCGTTTCAGCTGCTGGTTCAAAAATTGTCCCAGAGGTCTCCGTCTGTCGGCAAGCCCTCCTTCCTGGCCAGTGTTGAAAAGCTCAAGGAGTCGTTTGCGTCTGCGTTGAGCCCTCTCTCACCAGGCACTCATGTTCCACAGCCGGTGCTCTCGGTCACTAGCATGGTGCAGACAGTCCCTGATGTACATCCGCAGACCAACAGGGGGAAAGCGGCCGGCGCTGCTGGCTACAAGCACTTCCGCAGAAATGGTCGACCCGTTCCGAAAGTCAAGAGTTCTTTCAAACCTCCTCTGAAGACAAAAGGACTGAAACAGACAAGCAAAGCTACAGTATGTAAACCCAAAGATTCGGAGTTGCTAGTCAGTCTGAACAAGGCGCCCAGCGCTGTTGAGCCTATGTGTAATGATGTTATTGAGAGTGAATACCCCATTTCCAACTATTTGAAGAACTTGGCGATGAAAGTACATGTAATGCAAAACCCAGAGCCAGCTTGTTCTTCCAACCCTCCGGAGGCAGGCTCTAAGAACTGTTTGAAGCCCTTGGAGGATCAGCGCATCGCTGTCTCTACTGATAGCCCTGCACGTGCACCCTTGAGCTCTGCAGTGGCTTCCTCTGGAGACCCTGTCTGGCCCTTGTCTGGCAGTTCAGGGGTTAAGGTCCATTCTTCCTCTAGAAGTGTGTTTTCAGCAAAACAGAAAGCGAATGTGTCATCGAGGAGTGAGAATGAGCAGAGAGAGCTGGCCATGGAGATGGCGGATGACGACATGGGGTTTGTCATCGAAGTTCTAGACGATAAAGCCATCACGGGTGAGGAGGATGACATTGCCGACTGGCTTTATCAGAACCTGCCAGATACGGAGAAATGTGATTCTAACACCAACACCAACAGATGCCTACAACAACAGAGTCTCAATGCAAATGAGAGTAGTGTCTCCAGCAGCCGCGGGTCAGGGAGAACGTATGTGGGCTTGAGTGACCAAGCGTCTGACCACTCCACTCTGACACAAGGAATGCAAATTGTGAACAGCTCAGCGGTTGTCCGTGATGTCCAGGAGCAGACAGTGGACAAGCATTCTCAAGGCATGCCAAGTGATTCTAGTGCAGCACAGTTGCCTGACTTTAGTCAGATATGATTTCATATTCTGAGATCAGATACTTGTTTCACGGAGCTTTGTGTGAAGAGACATTATTATGATCTTCTCGGAAATATGTTTGAGGAGACCATGAACCCGTTGCTTTTTTTTTTCCATCAAGGTTCCCTCAGCATGCTCACTTTCTTATCTAGTCCCCCCAACTCCCCTCTCCTTTCCCCCCACCCTCACCTTTCTTTTGTTGTATTTTCTTTTTTCTTTTTTTTTTTTTACCCCATTTGAACAGTGTGAGGTTTAATGAAGCGGAGAAAGGTAAATTCATTAATTTTATCATAGTGACCATCAGCTTATTCATGAAGGGGCTTGCTTTGTGGATGCTCAGGGTGGAAGCTGTGTATTGTTCGTTAGAATGTCTGGAACAGACACCAAAGTATGCAGGTTGTGTATAAGGCTGTGAAACAGATACCATCTTACTAATGTTTAAAATTCGGCAGGTTCAAGAAAGCTTGTGCAGGGCATTTTTCTTCAACTATTAGTGCAATCTTCCAGGTGTGATCGAGTGATGTTATGCAGCGATCATTTTATGTATTTCAAGTTTTGTTCTGTTTGCAACATGTCATGCGTGTGACCAATATCAAACGGTGTCCTGTCGTTTGTTTGTTTGTTGGTTTTGTTTCTTTGTTCAATAGGAAATTTACTTCCGTCTCCTTGAAAAAGGATTTATAAGTGAGATTCCAAAGGGTTTGTTCGTTTTGTTTTCTTTCTGTTTTTTCCCCTCATGGATTAATTAGTTTTTGTATTTCTGTCGGATAAGGCAATGACATATACTTTGGGATTGATGTCAGTTGCAAATTATTTTTCTCCTTCCCTGTGGCTATGGCATCTTTACTACAAAATGTGTGCCAGATTCAAGGAGATTGTGCATGGTCTATCATTTTTGTATAGCAGTATTGTGCAGTAGAAATCTGCACAGATTCCCATCAAATGGGCGTCATAGATCTTAGAAGGGGGTAAATTTTCTTTCTCTTTATATAATATACATATTATATACAGTGTCATTCCACTGGAGAGATAGTTTTTATCTTATTTTATACTGTGCCAACGCTTGTCCACAGTCTATTGTGGTGAACCACATCTGTGGTGTAGGGGTTACACATTTTGCCATCACACACAGATTGAGTTCAATTCCCGAGTGGGGAGAGTTTTTATTGAGTACCTCCAACTTTCGGTTTGGATGTTGTATCCCTCTCAGCCCAGACTGGCCCTGACAGGTAGGGTTGAAGCAGACTGCCCCCTGAGCATTCTAAGATTGTGTTGATGGGGGCATAATCTGTTGTTTGTTATTTAATTTCTTCTTCTTTTTTTCCCCCAAGCAAGGGCGTTTTGCTGCTGGGATCTTACTCTAATAATAAGCTCTTTGAAGATTTGAGTATAAATGTTTATTATTATTCTTGGTTACTTTCTTTGCTACGCAAACAGTCATGGAGTTGTGTATTACTATTGCCTCCTTGATGAATCAGATAAAGATTGGGCTGCTTAGTGCAAATGGTCACTCAGCACATGATTGCTTTGAGTGTTTGGCAGGTGCCCAAGCACAAACAATTCTCCCCCCCCCCCCCCCCCCCCCCCACACACACACTTTTTTTTTCATTACTTTGTACCTCTATCTTTTTTTTTTTTCAAAGATTGTTACAAATATTATGTTTTTAAAAAGTTGCCCCTATCAAAGCAAGCCATGAATTCCATATTTTTCAAAATGTGTTGTGTAAGTTACTGTAAAATTTATCTTCATTTGTGATAGTAAATTAATAATATTAGAGATTATTATAAGGCCATGTATTACCAATTACTGGGAGGGGGGGGGGGGGGTGCTCTTGTTTTTATTTTATTTTCTTTGAGATGAGGGAGGTTTCAAGAATGGATTATAATCTATCTTGTAATGGCCCAAAGATGAGCGATTGAGTGTGGCCCAGTAGTAACATCTTTCTTGTCTTCTCTTTTCAAACATTTTTTTCTTTACAATCCAAATAAATGCTGTGCAGTCTGTGAGAGAAAAAAAAAGAATTTTCATTTGTTCATGCCATTATTTATATTCTGCTTCACAGCAAACTTTTTTAAAAAATAGGCATTCAGTTTCTGTATGTTCATGAGATTCATAGCTTCATTTTTGTCCAGCATCGAAGAGGGAAACAAAAAGGATGGATGTAATTCATTGTTGTTTTGTTTACTGTTGAACTATGATGAGGTTGCTGGTTTTCAGGAACTTTGTAGTGGCTATTGTTTACTTTCTTCATTCCGAAGGTCTTTTAGGTTCTCTTGAGAAATGTGAAGGGTTTTAATGTATCATGTTCAAAGATTTAAAAACAAAACATTTTTTATCAGCTGTTCTCTTTATACCGGTAACTTTCAGTGCTTTCAAAATATATTGATAGATTGGTACTAGTACATCATTGCCTGTGTTTCTTGTACCTGATGTTGCCTGTATAGTAAAATATGTTTACAGTCAGAATTGTGTTTCTTATTTGTTGCATCTATTGAAATGTATAAAGCATAAGTATTTAAATCTTGTGGGGTAGTTATAAAGGTTCTTATTTTCTGTCTATCTTTCTTTTCTCCTTCTCTCTCTCTCTCTCTCTCTCTCTCTCTCTCTCTCTCTCTCTCTCTCTCTTGTGTGTGTCTCTCTCTCTTTCTCTCCTCTCTCTCATTCTCTCTCTCTCTGTCTCTCTCTCTCCTCTGTGTCTCTTTCTCTCCTCTCTCCTCTCTCTCTCCTCTGTGTCTCTCTCTCTCTTTCTCTCCTCTCTCTCTGTCTCTCTCTCTCTCTCTGTCTCTCTTTCTCTCCTCTCTCTTTCTCTCTTTCTCTCTCTCTCTCTCTCTCTCTCTCTTTCTCTCCTCTCTCTTTCTCTCTCTCTCTCTCTCTCTCTCTCTCGTACACACATAAAACACTCAGGGCTGCCCATCACCATGAATTTGGCGGAATCATTACAATTACAAGTTTTATGTTTTATTAAAATGCAACCATAATACATGTACTGCTAATACCCCTGATTCTGATTTTTCAACATCTCAGTGTGTTGTGATACAATCAGGATAAAATGCTGGTGACATGTTCTAGAGCCCCCCGCCTTTGTTTACGTTACATTTATACTTGACTAACAACCCCTGTCTTTGATACCCCTTGGAAGAAGACTATCCATAGCCATATTACAATTTTTTTAGTCGGGTTACTAAAAACTCGTCAAAATAATGGAAGTGAAGAAACTGGCATTTTTCTACAGGTTTGGGAATTTTTGTTGAATTTTTGTTTTTTCGTTCAGCACCTTTCATGCCCTTTTATAGAAACACATTACTGTGTGGATTTTACTGAAAAATGTTGATTAAAGGCATAAAAGATGTACATTTTCAGTTTCCACAGACTCTCAAGCTAAGGAAATAACTAAACTTTGGCGATCATTTTCGCTAATTTTACCTCTGAAACAATGTGACCCCCACCTCCTTCTATTCAATCGCCAATGTCTCGATTTGTATCCAAGATAAATAGATTTTGTTTTCGCAGAAAGCAAGGCGAATGGACAGGCTTTAAGATGATACCAATAACTCCATATGTCAAAAAATTGACGAGTGCCTGATTCCACCGCGTCATGACACATAATATTACATGTAATATGCTGGTGGGTGGGCAGCCCTGAACAAAAAACATACACACACACACACACACACACACACACACACACACACACACACACACACACACACACACACATACACACACACACACTTATTTCCAAAATGCCCAAACATTCACATTTTCAGTGTGGAAACATGAGGCAATAATCCCAGCACTCGGCTGATTTCCACTTGTTAAGAATTGTGGTGTGCACAATGGACCAAGATGTTGAATGGGAACTAAAGTAAAACTAAAACTACATCGTAAAAACATTTGGGCTGAAACATCACAGAAAACTCGATCACGGATAGCTCGTACAATGTTCCATTCCCAGACAACTGCTAAGCCTGTATTTTCTTTGTACTGGCAGTACTGTATACTCCAACACTCATACGTATGTTGAACAGCTCGTCTCAAGCAAATCAAATTTTTCTTCACAATATTCTTGAATTCAAATGGCCCTATAGGCATGAAGCAATACAACTTGCCCAAGGTCATTGAAAGTATTTTGGGCACATGAGCCCTTCCTCCAGCTTGCCCTCACACATCGTAAAATACACACTGCTGGTATTGAGATGCATCATCGCACATTTCCTGTAGTATAGTGTGTATAAGTGGTAATTGTAAGACGCCAGAACTTCCGTTAATCTTGTCACGTGAGGATGGGTTATGATGTGTAATCGAAGAGAAACCCTGCGGCACAAGAAGATTGTGCTGTATGATTTGTGAATTAGATTTGTATTTCTGTACATGTGTGTGTGATTGTGTGAAAGGTGACAGTATAGATCGGGAAATGATTACACTAGAGGGGTGGTTGGTGTGTTGTGACTAATGCTGTTTACATTGTCATGGTTGTGATCTGACATCATCATCACATCACTGCCTTTCTCACCCTGGATCAGGATATAGGCCACGAACCGACACTTTCCACCTTTCCCTATCCTGGGCTAGTCGCTTGATGTCACTCTATGTCTTCCCACTTTTCTGTACATCCATTCCCGTGACTCTTCTCCAGGTTCCACGCGGTCTTCCCTTTGATCTTTTACCCTGTGGGTTCCAATCTAACAGTACTAACACTTGCCTTGTTATGCAGCTGCTTGACTTCCTGAAAGTGTCGGCTTTGTCAGCTAGCCTTTATTGTTCCTACTGATGCAGAAGCTCCTCCGTCTCCCAAGATGGAAAAAATGTAAGGCGTGTTTGTTAGTGTTTCTATGACTTTTCTTTTTTACTGGGTCGGGTAGTTGGCCCTCCGCAAACTGGCACTTTTCAGGTGGCCAGACCTATGCACCTTTAGTCGCCCCTTACGACACGCAGTATCATGGAAGGTGTATTCTTTACTGCCCCAATATTGGGCCCCCCACCTTCGGGGTGGTGATCTGACGTAAGGGCCATATTTTTTTAAAGATCAGACGTAAGTAGTAAATATCTCATTCTCATCAGCATCATTCTATCACCCATATTGCACAGAACATAGAGAACGGATTCGAAGATAAACACCACACATTGATTGTATGATGACTGGATAGATCTGGAAAAGGTGTGGAAGGACGGGCTAAGACTAAAACTCCGCAAGAGCGGTGTAATTGGAAAATGTACAGGTAGATCACAGTTAATTCAGTACTTCAACAGCCGGAAAGCCCGACTACAAGGGAGGCATGCCAGTTAATCACAGGCCCTAAAGTTCCTCTAAAATGTCAATTCAGTTTGTGTTGTTCAATATTTTTTCCTTTTTGTATGCAAATCAAAACAAATTTAAATTACTCTGTAAAATTTCAACAATGAATGTTCTTTCGTTAAAAACAATGGAGAAATAAAATTCAATTCATAGTGGGCCTGTGACTAACTGTAGTTTGTCCTGTGACTAACTGAGCCTGTGACAAACTGGGCAGTACCCACTACAATATGGAGCCAACAGTAAAGAAAGGGACTCTCAGACTCAGAGAGGGGGTCCCTCAAGGTGGAGTCCTAAGCCCGACCCTATTTCTGATCTTCATCAAGTCACGGCTCGAGGACCTACCCCGCAAAATAAAGGGAGATGCAAATGACCTCGTCCTGAAGATGCTAAGACTAAGAGTTAAGAGGACCGTGTTTCAACGGCCAGTTACCGAGTCCAACAAACACTTGACACACTGGAGAAGTGGACCAAACAGTGGCTGATAAAGATAAGATACGTAATAATATCTTTATTGTCCAGATCCTGGCACATTGGTTTGGTGTTTCTCCACGTGGACACACTCACACACACAAACACACACACACACGCGCGCGCGCGCGCACGCACACTCATGCACACACACGTAGGCTTACAATTACATGCATACTATAAATGAGCAGCAATATAATCAACAATAATCTTAAGCTATATATCTATACACACTCAATGTTGTTCTGATGCATGCTCTAAGGTCGTAAGTATACTTATATACTATACAAGATGGTTAAGATGGAAGCATTTTGAAGGATGGTGGTAAAAATGACATTCTATATATCTTTCTTTGTTACAGATCAGAAACCGAGATCTTTTCCTTCTGGCTGATGTTTTTATTTGAGGAAACAAGGGATGTTTGTTGTCTAAAAAGATGGCATTATTTTTTTAGTGCAAGCTAAAACATGAGAGAGATGAAGCTCACTTGGAACGAGCTTGGAAGGATGACCTAGGACAGAGATAAATGAAAGGAGCTAGTTCGCCTATACCCTGCCAGGGGTGGAAGGCATTGATGATGATGTTGTTTGAACCCAAACTAGAAAACAGACGCTGACATTTTTAAAAGTGGAAAAGGAAAACACCGATGTACAACATGTATCAATTTTGAAGTATTTTATAAAGATACATACCGATCTACGAAACCTATAATTTTGTAAATTCTTAGCTCAAATTGGCTCAAAATAATAAAACTCCGGTTCTGTTAGTGTTAACATGACGAAAAGGTCGACGTCTCTATGTTGAAATTGAAGTCAGTCTTGCTTGGGGTTATTCAATGTATTGCTTATTTTTCGCCAGGGGTCCAGCCGATGGTTTTGGATTGTATGTGTTCTGCTTATTTTCTTTTCCTATGTTGCTTCTGCCTGTCTATTTTGTTTAATAATAATATAATATATAACATTTATATAGCGCATTTCCAAAAAAGTAGCTCAATGCGCTTTACATTGGAATACCCATTTTTCAAAAACCTTTCTTACTACTTCCTTTCTTCTCATGCAATATACATTAAAGCGCGCACACGCACGCACACACACACACACACACACACACACACACACACACACACACACACACACACACACACACACACACACACACGCACAGAGAGAGAGAGAGAGAATAGGAACAGAACAACTATAATGAAAAATAACGTTAAAAGCTTATGTTTGTTTGTTATTGGTTGTTGTTTTGTTTGTTTGTTGTTTTATTGGGGGGGGGGGCTGTTGGTTTTATTGTTTTGTTGTTGTTGTTTTTTTAGGGGGGTGTATGAAATTGTTGTCTTGTGCCCATGTGCATCTATTTGCTGAAACTCCACCCACCCACTCCCTCAATAATTATCTTTATCGTGGACCCAGTTTAATTTTAATACAATACATGTATACATTATTTATAGCGTTGGTGGAGTACACGCACATCAAGTGTAATCATGGCAAAATATTGGACGAGAAATTTTTCACGAGGAACAAATCTCTCTCTCTCTCTCTCTCTCTCTCTCTCTCTCTCTCTCTCTCTCTCTCTCCCCCCCTCTCTCTTATGTAATAACAAAGCAGATCATTTCTATAGCGCCCAGTCCTTAACAAACAATACAAGTATTCACAACTTCAAATTGGAAATAACCCGTTCGTATTTTACTATTTTGTTGAAAATTAGATGTCTACTCCAAAACAGTTTCTTTTTCTCTACCTGTAGGGGTTGAGTTAGTCAAACTGGTGCTGACTCATGCTTGAATCTGTCATAAGATTCGTATGAATAAGAATAATATGAATGCTGACTAGAGCTGGGGTCAAGAAAAAAAATGCAGTTCATGGGACGAGGACTGCAAGGAGTGCTTTTTTATGTAGCTCTTTAATTCTTTATCAGTTCAGGCCTACTGGTTTACGTGCACAAAGTCTTAGAATGTAGTACATGTATAGGCTTGTTCTTTTAGAAGGCCAGTGGATGGTTCATTATATGTTAAATTGTTCCTCTCTTACCCCAGGCAATGTGAATGCATATTGGAAATGCCAAAGTATTTTCACCTGTGTTACCAGCAAATTGAGGTCTGTAAGGGGTGACTTTTTTCCTAATCCACACTTTAGTTAGATTTTACAGCCAATTTCTTTTCAGTTTTCTTTTGTCTGTTTGGGCTTTTAAAGCAATTTTACCATAGTGATCAAATTCAAGAGTAAACGATATATTATTATAATGTATGTGGAAAGGATTGAGACTGTTTGTGGAAAAGGGAAGGGACTGTTATTGGATGGGATAGTCGATCTTTGTTGTTTGTGTGCGGTCTTCTTTTCTGGTATATTCTTTTTAACAAAGTGGGGGTTAAGTTTAAAAGAAAATGATTACTCTTAACGCACCATTTAGATTAAAAGGATTCCTCTGGGTTGACAGTATATCAAAGCAACATTTGGGGTTTTCGAAATTATTGAAGAAAAAAACCCAGTTAAAACTGGAAAAAGCAAAACGAGAGCGCAATATTACGATCACAATTGTCTCCAACAGAATCAGATCCAAGCACTCCTTCATAAAAAAAAATCTGAGTCAGAAATCTATTCAGGTACCCCCCCCCCCCCCCAATGACCTGATATTATTTTTTAAAACCCCCCCCCCCCCCCTCCTCTCTCTCTCTCTCTCTCTCTCTCTCTTTCTCTCTCTCTCTCTCTCTTCTCTCTCTCTCTCTCTTTGCCCCCCCCCCCCACTCTTTATCTCGCACCAAGATTAGCAATTAACCCATCATAAGCAACCGCAAAGGCCTATCTTTTCAAACGAAGCAAAGACACATCAGAATACTTTCATCCATTTAACTCTACCCATTTTTTCACGTGTCAGGTCTGAAGCAGACATACGTTCACGGTACCCTACTCCAATTCTGTTGTCTCTAAGCTCTGATCAGCTCGATTTTTCTCATTGCGTTATTTGCAGCAAAGTTATTCAAGCTATCTGTGTATGTTAATTATTCGAGATCTTCTCTGCTCTTCCTAGATCTTGAAAAAAATCCAATGATCCACTGTCCTCACACAGGCCTAGACCTACATGTGTATAGGCCATAGATCCACATAAACCACTACTCTCTATTCACGATATAGGCCTACAATTAAACCAGTATAATAGTACACATTTCTAATCACTTGCTTCGGCCACCTTCAGATCAACTCCTCTTTCAATCTCATGGTATTTGTGCTTCGAGGTGGCAGTTGCTCTAATATAATTCGCGGAAAAGAACCACAGTAATAGCTCTGCGTTGAGCTGTGTGTGTGTGTGTGTATGTGTGTGTGTGTGTGTGTGTGTGCGTGCGTGTGCGTCGTGCGTGCATGCGCGCGCGCGCGCCCGCGTTAATACATTTGTCTCTTCCTAAGAATATATAATGTGAATTATATTGTTAACATGTCCGCCGACAAGTAAAAAAATATACGTAATTATAATAAAGGCTGACGGATTAGAATTTTATACGGGGAGCCTTTTGCGGATGGGACAACTAGGACAAGGACCTTCCTTGAGATGGGATCAGCAGCTCCGTCCGATCGCACGCTGACTCGCCGACTCGCCGACTCAAAAAACAAACGCGTTTGTTTTCAGGCGACGAGTGGGGCGATCGCCCCCGACCCGACCCGATCCAATCCGTAATGGACTCTCCGTATTAGATCTAGATCTACATTATCATTGATTAAATTTGCTTTTTTTTGTTTTTGTGTTTTTTTGTGTATGTGTCTGTCCAGTAGGCATATTGTTCCGTTCAATCACATAGCCTAGATCTAGGTTGTGATTTTTTAAAGAAAATAATTTTGTTTCGTAACAATTTTGGGTTGAAAATTTCAAAATGGCGCGGGCTATCGCAAGCATTTTCAGTTTCTGTTCATTATGAAAATATGAGAACCGGTACAACTAAACGCAGAACAAACATAAATACATCAGTTAGCAGGGATCTTTGAACACCGTATTCACTTTCAATTTGAACTCCAATCTGATAAATATCGGAGTACCTCATGGCGAAACAGGTATGGTGGTAATAATTTGGGTAAATTTTTACTTTCACTCCCGCACACAGATGCACTGTTTCAGGGGTCAAACTGCTGTACTGTTTGCTGCAGATCACACATAAAGCCACTAAAACTGTCGCAAATCAATTATTTTCAAGACAATTTCAAATCTAACTGTAAAATATCAAATTATGGGTGTAAAAACAGGGGGGCATGCCCCCCTGTAACCCCCCAGATTTTCTTTTACCCCAGTGGGGCAGGCCCCCCTGGAACCCCCCGATTGGTCCAAAGCATGTCTATCTCGGTTAAAAACAATAAAATATTTCATAAACCATTAATTTGCGACGGAAATGAAGTTGATATTCGTGTTCAGCGCATCAATATTTAGTAGAAAATAGACAACTGGTAGCTGAGTGTGAGACGGGAGGGAAAGTAAAAAAATACCAAGAATACCATAATTTGAACAATTAATTAGCAACAACACAGTACAAACAAGTAAAGTACAGCGAAAGTGGCTATTCTCACCCGCCCGGAAGTTCTCGCAAGATCAACTCCTCCCCTATTCTCTCTCTCTCTGTCTCTTTCTGAATACTGTCTATCGGTGTGGACGATCAAATTGACCAAAACAAAGTTAAAAAATGATGTTAAAACACAAAAGTAAATTAATTTGATTGTCTACAAAGATGCTACGGCTATTTAACTTTTCGAATCGAGCCGAACTACGCGGGTCTCCATTTTGTTTTGCCCGGAAATTCTCACGCTACTCCTCTCTCTCTTTCTCTCTCTCTCTCTCCACTGCCCACAGACAAAATTGTACGCTTTAGTAGGCCACCTCTATTCTCACCCGGAGTGAGAATAGTGCAGGCGAGTCTTGTGGCTATTCTCACCCGGTGCGCGTTCACCAAATTTTGCGTTCACCCTAAACCACAGAATTCTACACTGTGATAACAGAAAAATTGTAGAATTCTGTGCCGTGAACAAACGTTCCATTACAACTAGCCTACTAAAAGCGTACAATTTTGTCTGTGGGCAGTGGAGAGAGAGAGAGAGGAGTAGCGCGAGAATTTCCGGGCAAAACAAAATGGCGACCCGTGTAGTTCGGCTCGATTCGAAAAGTTAAATAGCCGTAGCATCTTTGTAGACAACCAAATTTATTTACTTTTGTGTTTTAACATCATTTTTAAACTTTGTTTTGGTCAATTTGATCGTCCACACCGATAGACAGTATTCAGAAAGAGACAGAGAGAGAGAGAAGAGGGGAGGAGTTGATCTTGCGAGAACTTCCGGGCGGGTAGCCACTTTCCTTTTAGTAGGCTACAGTTGTAATCAGAGCTGTTAAAGTACTTTTAAAAAAGTACTTAAGTACAAATTTAAAAGTACAACCTAAAAAATGTACTTAAGTACAGTAAAAGTACTTTCCTATAAAATGTACTTGAGTACAAGTACTTTTTAAAAAAGTAGTTATGAGTACATTTTGAGTACTTTCTGCAAATATGCTAAAACACTTCAGCGCTTGGCTTATGCAAAACATCATATTTTATAACTTATCCAGTATATTTGACAAATTAGGCTATTTATTACTAAAAATGTAAACAGTATACAAAGCATTTGAATATACAATGTACGCCCTGAACGGTGGAAATGGTCCGTGAAGTTTAACAAAAAACAACCCAAATGAACAGACGCAACTAGTAGGTAAGTGCTATTATGAATAGAACTTGTTTGAGCAAGACAATGTGATCAAATGTAAGTCAGTTCTAGAGGTCGGAAAGTTCTACAGAAAGAGTATCCAAATTGAAAAAATGTAGATACAAAGTTGCTCTTAAGAAAACATAAATTGATGAAAATGGCCCGCATAGAAATGGAAAAGTGCATTGAATTCTTCATTAACAAATCCTCAAGGAATCAATGTAGCCTTAAGCAAAAACCACCCAAAAAAAGTTAAAAAGAAATTTAGGCAGCCTAAAAGTTGTTAGATACACATTGAGAACACAGTTTCAGTTTCAATTGATTATAGTGTTCTGACAGATTTTGGTCACACTGTGTAGTCCACGGCGTCAACAGCAAACCAAAATACAATAGTTTCTTAGAGTCTAGTAAGTGTAGTGTAACCAAAGATTCTCTACTGCAGTAGTCTCCGCCTAAGATCCCAGTGCTCGGAAGTAAGGAAAATATGGGATCTTAGCCAACGAAGCCAAGGAAGAATTTACAGTGACCCATGAACTGACGTGACCCCTGGGTGGATTTATGACATGGCAAGCAAAGAGTGGTCAACCTTGATTACCAATCACAGTGGCATGAGGCATGCCATAAATACACACTCATTCGCCTATTGTGAGTCTTGAGATCTTTATCTACGTTTATCCAGTTGCCCCTCCCCTTTACCTGTCCAACAATTTTAGCTTTCCATCTCTGATTGAGTCTCCCCCCCC